CATTTTACTGACCTTTTCTAATACATATGTAAGAACATCAATTCTAATAACAAAAAATTTAGGGGAGTAAAGATGAGGATACAATCCGAACAAACCTGAGGATACATGAAAAGTTAATACCTGAGGTAATTTGACTTTTGAGAATATCATTTCAAGAATGTATTATACTGTGGTGCAAATAATTTATGAAGTAACTCAATAATTTGGTTTAAACCATATTTCCATTTTAAAAATGTATTCTAGGCAGTTACATATGCAGCAATGCCACATAAGAAAGATAAAGTTACTTCACAAGTGCAAAATCATGTCGTAAACGTTTTGCAGTCTTCGTGAGGCCCTTATTAGGAAGGTGTTGACATCAATATTGCCCTCATCCAAGTCAGCATAATGACCTCTCAAAGCAGCATCATTGGCTAAAGCACTGGTTCTTCTGGCAGAGCTAGCATCAAAGCCCCCATCTAAAACTTCTATGTCAAAGGCTGTTATGTCCTCAAGGTTATTGAGTGCATCTAGAATATGAAAAGGAAAATATAAAATATTTTAATCATTTCATGTGGACTATTTTTACTTGATGAAGGTGACTTCAGCCCAACAAGCCTCACACTAGCACTTTCAATAAAAATAAAAAGAGCTACTTACAAAGGAATACCCATGTCACAGGATGATCAGTCTTAAATTCTCTTCTCAGAGCTGCGTTAGAACTTTCGCATCTGTAAATTAAGGTTTGTATATAATTGCACGCTGCGCACTCAAAGAATATAAGATTTTAAAAAAATACACTACATACCCATTATTTGTTCGGTGTGGACATCTGTACACTGAAAACATCCTTAATCTAGATGGTATCAGCCAAGTAGAAGAAACATAAGTAAATAAATTTTCGAGATCAGGCCAGAAACCAAGGTCCACAGCACTTGCAGCTACACTTGCCAGTCCTTCAAAGATTGGTTCTCCAGCATGCCCATATGGAAGCAAAGCAAGCGCACAGAGCCTCCGTACCAGACTGTCAACATCTTCATTATCCCGAATGAGAACTGTCAACCCCATTTCCTTGGCCTTTCCAGCAATATCCTGTTCAACATTTTAAAGAAACTTATATTTCCAACACAAGTTGAGCCATTTAATTCGGCTCACTTACAACCATAGTTTTCTTAATAACTTCACTGGTTTCAATTTGTAAAAAAGGGTAATTACTTTGCTGCTATGAAAAAGACATCCATCCAGGTCCACATTTGGAAACACCGCTTCCCATGCATTAGCCTGGGCCATTTCAAAGTCAGCCATAACTTTTTGAGGACGGAAATTAGGTGCTACATCCTTCAGTGCTCTCAACGCAGCCTCATAGCATGGTTGCGTTTTAGACTGCATCAAAACTCTTACCAGAGGTAGAACCTATAAAAACTAAGTTACTAACAGCAAAACTAGGACAAAAATGTTTGAAGGTTGAGAAAACTACAAGCACTCACATGATGTCGCCGAATAGCAATTATGGACCAGATTTGTGCACATTGTCCCTTCAGAGCTGCTGGCACAGTTGAAAAAGTGCCATCACTGAATGCAGTATGGACTTGTCCACTGTTCAGATATTGAATGGCTCGATGTGAGGCAAATATCAGGACTCTTGTGCGTGTAGAAGACTGACCAAATTTCCCAAGATAAATATTATCTTCTTCATCCAGAGTCTTGGTGAGAAACTCGTACTGGTCTTGCTCTAAAATATCAGCCAGCTCACTCAACGTATGGGGAATATTTGGGAGTAGGGTGCTTCTCGCTCTGTCCATGGAAGGCCTCAATTTGGTGAAATGGAGTGAGATGATGGATTGTCTTGGACACCTGATTGCAAAGAAACAACACCAAAGGCAAAATAAGCATTTATAAACTCAACATTTTCATCTCCTTTCACTGCTTCCATTTACCTCAAATCTCGTCGCACTCTGTGGTATATTTCTCTCAGAGACTCATTTCCATTTTCACGTTTTCTGCATTCCTGAAGTACAAATGAACGGAACCTTCTGACATGTTTGATGTTCCAGTCCCTGTCATGATTATGACGATGCACTCCTGGGTGGAAATCTCTCCCCTCTGGATCTACACTGGCACGCCCTCTGCACCTCCTCTTCGCATAGTGTATGCATCTCAGAGAGAGCCGCCCTCCTCGCATAACACGGTTTTGGTGGTAGCTGAAGCCTTCATCTGAGTGCACATAAAATGTACCATCTCTCATACCGAACTCAACCGAAAAACCAGCCATAGTGACACCTGTCAAACAACACAAAACAGTCAAAAGAAAAAGAATGGACTTCATTACTTGACTGAAATCCAAGGCTCCACGAAGGACTGGCACCCACACATACCGGAATAGAGAGAAAAACACTAAAGAGCCCAGTCAAACAAATAAGGAACATATAGGAGAACTGGGAAAGTTCTACAGTACTAGCAGACGACTGAGTGGGCGTTTCCAAACCTACACAAGGCGAATATTCCATTTAAATCTATGGGTAAAAGCCATGGTCAACACACAAGAGACGCAAAAGAAAAAAAAAATCGAAAATAACGAAACACACTCTGTGCAAAACGATAAATCACACATGGGGGGAAAAAATGGGTAAATAACAACAGGTGCTAGCGCTCAGCTCGGATGTCGGCTTGCTTACAAGCTGGCAACATGGCGGAAATACGGAAACCGAAAGAATGAGCGCGAGAAAAGGATTCACACAAATTAAAATAATAAATCGTTCTGTAAAATAAATAAATGTTTTCAATAATTATGTTTTAAGGCACGAAAGATCAAAGGCAAGACACGGTTCATCATGTTGCTGTTGGCACGCTTTGTCTTCAAACAAGTGTGAACTTGCAGCTTGGAAGGTTTCGCGCCTCTTTCTCTCTGTCTCTCTCTCTCTCTCTCTCTCTCATCCTAGCTAGGCAAGCAGCACGGCAACGGGCACGAAGTGAAGAAAGTATCGCCCGCGTTTGTTATCCTAAAAGTCCATTATCTCTTTGTCATTTATCTGCCCGTTATTGAAATCAAGCACGTTTGCAGTAGCATTGTAAGTGTCGTCCTGATCTTGGTGAAGGTAAAACTACCATGCATGTATGGGGAGCGGGGGGATGTTGGGGATGTGAGGGGTGCACACCGACTCTGCTTACTTGCTTGCTTACTAACCAATCCGCTGACAAATGTACCTGTTATGCTTTATGTCGATCAAAGGCTTCTTAACCCACACTTAAAGGCTCAAGTATGGTCATCATAATATATTGTTTGGGATGAAATGTAACACCACAGGGTGCTTGGGACGTAACGTTTTCGGACGCAACCAAATTTGCGGGCAAGGTGCCTAAAGAAGAATTAAAGAAAACCGTGAGGATGGCGCGGGTTGTACAAAAGCATGGACAAAGAAACTTTCAAAATTGTAGTGTTTCATTTCACCAATCATGATTTTATGAGGAGGGTCCATTTAAATTATGATCCAATTGATCCCGCATTCTAAAGGAAGGGTTAGGTCACATTATGTGGTTTGTTTATTATGCGCTTGGTGAACTCCGCTTTCCTTTCGAATTACAAATTAGTTCAACTCTAAGGGAAAACCTAAATTACTTCATGTAAAAATATTTACAATTTCTAAGTCAACTCCAGAATAATTTAGACAGTTATATTTGTTTTATTTTTTTAAATTATTGTATTAACTCACTGGGTGTGTAATTAATTACAGTTTCAATTGTTTCAGCTAACATCATGGAAGAATGGCATCAAAATTTTCTGCTACAGCAGCAGTTGATGCAGCAGCAACAGCAGCAACAACTACTGCTCCAACCGCTGCACCAACAGCCGATGCATCACCAACAACCAATGTTGCACCAGCAGGCAATGATGCATCATCAACCTACGCTGCATCAACAGCAGGCTGCATTAATGATGCAGCAGCAGGCAACAATGATGCCATACCAGTATTCAGGCATGCCAGCATTCAGCCATACCACTGTTCGACAGCCTCGCTATCCGCTTGTGAGTTAAAATGGTCTGGCAGTAGATGCAGAATTGTAGCAACAAGAAACTCTGCCTGGGTTCTGTGACAGTTATCACTGTGATGTTATCAAAGACAAATAATAGACTACCTCAAAAAGTTGCTCAAAAACAAAATTTTCAAATTATAGTCTTTAAAATATTTTTATATGAAAACAGTGGCTAGTTCAGTTTTAAGAAGGACGATAGTCCTTTTGAAAAACAAGAGCAGCCCACAAGGGCTGTGAGCAATATGAATAATTCTATGAAATTTTTCACAGGCAATGTACGAGAATGAACCAGTTCAGTGGCATTCACCAGTGACTTATGATCATCCTTTCCCTCATGTAAGTGCAACCCACGCTGCTTTTTTAATCTCATCCTCTATCTTTGTATCTTGCTTTTAACTTCCTCTCTTTTTCACAGGCACCAAAAATTAAAACTGAACAAGCTGTTGATGTCAAGACAGTAAAAGTAGAAGAAATATCTGAAGAAAATTTTAAGTTTCATGAACAAAACCAGATACCAAAGAGAGATGAAGGAGAGGTGGAGAACGCAAAGAGAGCTTCATCAGCTGAAAAATTGAAGCTTGACGACCAAATTCAGAAATTTAAGAGAGATGAAGAAGAGATCGAAAACACAAAGAGGGCTTTGTCAGTTGAAAAGACGAAGTTTGAAGAAGACAGAGAGAAATTAAAGAGAGATGAAGAAGAGATCGAAAACACAAAGAGAGCTTTGTCTGTTGAAAAGATGAAGTTTGAAGAAGACAGAGAGAAATTAAAGAGAGATGAAGAAGACATAGAAAAGAGACAGAGAGCTTTATCAGCTGAAAAGATGAATATTGAAGAGCAAATTCAGAAATTTAAGAGAGATGAAGAAGAGATCGAAAACACAAAGAGGGCTTTGTCAGTTGAAAAGACGAAGTTCGAAGAAGACAGAGAGAAATTAAAGAGAGATGAAGAAGAGATCGAAAACACAAAGAGAGCTTTGTCTGTTGAAAAGATGAAGTTTGAAGAAGACAGAGAGAAATTAAAGAGAGATGAAGAAGACATAGAAAAGAGACAGAGAGCTTTATCAGCTGAAAAGATGAATATTGAAGAGCAAATTCAGAAACTTAAGAGGGATGAAGATGAGATGGAAAACACAAAGAGAGCTTTTTCATTTGAAAAGATGAAGATTGAGGAGCAAATTCAGAAACTTAAGAAAGATGAACAAGAGATGGAAAACACAAAGAGAGCTTTAGCAGTTGGACAGATGAAGATTGAGGAGCAAATTCAGAAACTTAAGAAAGATGAACAAGAGATGGAAAACACAAAGAGAGCTTTAGCAGTTGAAAAGATGAAGTTTGAAGAAGACAGAGAGAAATTAAAGAATGATGAAGAAAACTTTTTAATAACCAAAAATGAATTTGAAGAATATAAGACCAAGATTGAAAGGCAGTTAGATTCGGAGAAAGAGCAGCTGCAGGAGTACATAGATGAGGTCGGAGAAGAACTTAAGTTTGAAAAAAACACGATTGAAGATTTACGAAAAAAACTGATGTTGGAGCAGGAGCAAGCAAAGCAGGATCAGAAAAAAACAAAGGTAAGATCAACTAGAATCAAAACACATTTTTATGACACTTATTCATCCAAGATTATTGTGCATAATCTCCTTTTCTTTTCTCCATGTTCAGCGAGGAAGTCCGGATCAGGATGACGACGATATTGATGATGATGATGAAGATGATGAAGATGATGAAAACGAGGCTTTGGAAGAGGAGGGGATTAGTAAGTCCAACCCTGCTTACAATCAATTCCTTGTAAGTCGCAAAGCCACTGTGTCTTAAATTCTTATACTAAGTTATATCTTTAGTAATTATTTTTGAATATTTATTTAGGCAGACCTTAAGACAAGATTGGAAAAAAACAAAAAGGTTGAGGATTCTAAAGCTGAGCAACAGGTAATTGAGACTGCTTTTCCTATCTTGAATGTATTTAGCATGCTGAGAACCTTTCTAACATTTTATTTTAAATTCTATCTCATAGACTAAAGTAAAAACCCGCAGCAAGAAGAAGGCTGATGGTAAGCTTTCAGCACCTGAAATTGAGGTGTGGCATGTGAGTTTCAATTGCGTAATGAATTAACTTTATTTCAGCAGATGATGAAGAAGATAGTGGGCCTGCCAAAAAGGGGCGAGGAGCAGGAACCTCTAGTGGAGACTCAGGTAAATTTTAATTTAATTCTCATTCAAAGTCCAGCCTTCCAGTGTCCTCTAGCTTTGCAGGTTTTAGGTTTCAGTAATAAAGTGGTGTAAAAAATGTTACATTTTGGAAACCTTGCTGCCTTTTCATGTTTGTTTCTGTAAAAAAAAAATCAATAAATCACTATTTTACTGAGACTGATAGCTTGCCATTTGCAACGCCGTTTGTTATCTTGATTTTTCTGTTCACTTCTAGAAACAAAGTCCAAAAGAGTGGGAGCTGGGAGACCAAAAGGTTCCAAGAATGTGGGCCCCTCCAAAGCCAAACTGGCAGAAGAATTAAACAAAATTAAGCAATCTAAGAAAAAATAAGTAAATTACTTGCCACTGGGAATTTTTGTTATTGATTAATCTAATCACTCATTATTGTGAATAAAACTTTCGAATCACATGCCACTGGTTTATTGCTGACACCTTTCCTGCTATGGGTTGAGTCGAATTGCTTACATCTGTTGGACACTTGTATAAATTGTCAAATTATTATTATTAATATAAGAATTATAAAAAATAATGTTTTATTTTTAATTAGTCATCGAGGTGCTTGATTATGACCCTGACTTCATCTCAAATTATAAGGGTGAAATTTACTATCAAGTAGAAGGTATGATTTACTTTAACATTCCATCTGACACTCTAGGTATAGTTGATTTGACAAATGAGGAGCTGCCAAATTTTAGTGGAGAGCTTCAGATTCCGGACGATGAATCAGAAGGTATTAAAATGTTCTCAATAATTTTGGCTATATTTTTGATGGCATTAACTTTGATCTATTCTTTTTAGATGAGGATGATGAAGCAAGGGAAAAAAAGATAAGAGACCAGATGTTGCAGGAACTAAATACAATGCCACCTGACATGCTATTGCAAGACAATGTAAGTACCGCATAAAAAGCATGTTTATGATTTTTTTTTTCACACGTCTTTTGTCAATGAGTCTTCAAATCAGTATTTATCCATTTTAAATTTCACAGGAAAGAGACTCGCTGCGAATGGAGGCCATCGCTCTTTTAAATGAAGTGAAGAGCTCTGAGTGTAAAATCCACCTTAAAAATATTTTGTCACGGAAGGTAAAGAACGACCGGATGGATCTCTACATTCAAACCAACTTACGGCAAGGGGATTCTGGCTTTGGGCCATTGAATCCCTTTCAGGATTTGGTAAGTACCTCACAATTCTACACAAAAGAACCCATGAATTCACAAAGTGGAATAGTTGTTGAAAGTTCATATTTTTTTTCTTGTTGCAGACTGATCAGTTCCTTACCATAATTGATGACTACTTCCCCAAAGAAGCTCCATTTGTTAAATTAGATGTACTTATTCCTGAAGTCAGTGTACATTTTAATAATCACTTTAAATTGAATTTATAAGACTTGCATCACTTGTCTGTAACAACTCCTTCTTTCCAACAGGCCATTATTTATGCTTACCAGGCAGTGCATAAGTGTTCATATGAAGACGCAGATGAGAAGGTTTTCGAGAACCTAAAATTTTAAGTTTTACTGACAACCAGATGAAATCCAAAATCTGAGGAACTGGTTAACTTCAAGAAAGCGATGGAACACCTCTACAGTATGGAATCAACAATACAGAAAATTTGAGTCTTTGTTTATTAAAATGTGCTGTGTCCCCTAAAATTCTTCGTTCTCAGGCAGTGTCATTAATAAATCAATCGAATGGCTATGTGAATTCTTAATTAAGTGTTGAGTTGTGGAGGTTGGGTGATGGAGGGGATCATGTGGTAATTAGAAACAATATAAAGAAAACAAATTTTACTGCACATGATGAACTTACACACAAACAAAGGGAACAGCCAACATCCTGAGAGGACTTAAATGAAAATAGAAATTAAAACCAGCCATATAGACACATAAGGATACTAGTTTCAATGCGAGAAACAATCATTTATAATAAAGAGGGACAGTTGCTGAACATTTCCTCCATCTCAAACAGAAGTATTCAGGGAACCACAATGACCCCACAATCACACAGCTTAAGGCTGTCCTTTGTCCTCACTAACCCGCAACTCTATTCACTGCCTCTCGAAACAAAACCACCAGGACAGACTAATATTAGAGAGAACAGTGTGCAATGGTTACTCGTTGGTTCTATCAACACCATCAACAAAGACCGGTACAATACCTGCCATGCAGTGTTCTTGCCAAAAATAAAAAGGCTCCACTACCACATCAACCTCTGCACACAACAAAGTAAAACACACAAGGCTCGACAGAAACAGAAAAGTACACGAGTCCAAGAAAGCCATGAAAACCTCGCACAAACTATTGCTGCCAAAGCTCAGATAGAACCATAAAAGATTACAAGCTATGAAAAGGCACATATCAAAGCAATACCAAAACGAATTTAAGCAAGCAAAAGAGACTGAGCTCTCAGAACAAGTGGAATGAGTACAGGACGTTATCAGAACAGACCACAAAGCACCAAAAAAAAAGCCCAAAGCAACGACTGATGCACTGCTAATGCAGAAAGACAAGCTCTTTTCTTTCTTTTTCTTTTTTTTTGGTGGAAAAAAAAATGGAAGGAAACCCTGCCAACTACAGTAACAACCTTGATTCCACAGACCAAGAAAAGCAGAAAAGGTGTCTATAAAATGAGACAAGCACAACACTAATATGGAGAGATGATGTTACCAGTGAAACAGGGCAAGCTTTCTATTATGAGATTATGAGCTACAAAGAGGCATAGGAAATAAGGCCCAATGCAAGACTGGATAAAAGATTATTTAAAAGCAAGCACACTAAGAAAGCAAACTAAAGGGGAACAAGCATATGAAATTTATACCATACCACACCACAGGGAAGCTCAACACTAAAGCACCTCTCACCCACATAACAGCAGCTAGCAACATAATAAAACAATCCAAAATCCCTCCACCACAGAAAACATGGGTCATGCCTCCAGTACATGTTCTATTTTGATGAAGTCCATTAGTAAAACAAAACCTTCATAATGGGAGCAAAGACATGGGGATGTCAGAAAAATAAAATAATCAAATATGTGCATTGAAATTGAGAGCATTTCAAAAACAAACACAAACTCATCAGGCCTTTCAAAAACACTGAATAAAGCCTATCTTGAGCTCAAAATGCAAAGGCAAATTCAAACCCCACTGGTATCGACTGAAACTTTAACCAGAACTGTCACCCATTGTTTCCATAGGCAGGGCCTTTGAACCATACAGGCACCATAAAGTAATAACTATCAATACAACATGAACCAGGTAAAAATGTCATCTAAAGAAAAGACTGCCACCATAAAAGAAAAGGGAAGCCACCAAAGGAGTCCAAGCAGACAGATAAGCATAGCACTAGGATGGTATTCAAGACAATACAACATGAACCAGGTAAAAATGTCATCTAAAGAAAAGACTGCCACCATAAAAGAAAAGGGAAGCCACCAAAGGAGTCCAAGCAGACAGATAAGCATAGCACTAGGATGGTATTCAAGACAATACAACATGAACCAGGTAAAAATGTCATCTAAAGAAAAGACTGCCACCATAAAAGAAAAGGGAAGCCACCAAAGGAGTCCAAGCAGACAGTTAAGCATAGCACTAGGATGGTATTCAAGCCAATACAACATGAACCAGGTAAAAATGTCATCTAAAGAAAAGACTGCCACCATAAAAGAAAGGGGAAGCCACCAAAGGAGTCCAAGCAGACAGATAAGCAAGATAGCAAAGCTGGTTTCGCAACACCATGCATAGCTAAATGCAGCATGACGCTACAAGGCCAACCATTCAAAACAACACAACAAAGAAGCCCATCAACTTCACAAGTCATATGCCAAAGCAGGTCAAGAAACAACATGATATGTCATCAATAGTAGTGGGCGCCACCACCAGGGAAAAAGCAACCCAATAAGAATGCAAACAAAAAACAAATTAGACAGATACCCAAGCGGTAACCACCAATGCAAAATATGCAGACCGCAAAGACTAAAGCAAGAGCTAAGCAGGCACACAAACAAACACATCCCCATTCAGTTGATCCGCTCTCTTCTGCAAGCTGCCGTGCTGATCCTCTTCATCAGCAAGGCGAAGTCTTCATCCTCTTGTTCGGCAACTTGTTGTCTGGAAGGCCACAGACTGAAGGTTCGGAACAGCAACATGACAGCTGCTCGCTCCTGCTGCTCCACCTCCACTCCCGTTGGTTGTCCTAAAATAAACCTGCAAGACAAAGGTGCTCCTAAAACTTTGTGTTCACATTTAAGGCAAGGTAATACCAAACATTGTAGCATCACACTGAACTGACCTTCGACTGGAACAGCATAGGTCCAGAGAAACGTAGAAAATCCTCACTGTGACACCGGTTGGCAAACCCCATTTCTCCATAGTGATGTCGCAGGGACACCCACAGCAGTAGCATGTTCGACAATGAGTCCTGCTGAAACAAAAGAAACAGACCCATCCCAATGTAACGCAAACTTTAAAACGAAACATGAATGCAAACACACGTTGAACTGGTATATAACTAAACATACCTCAGGCCAGTAGCAGGAGCATTCTTCAACAATGAAGGAAGAAGCAGCATTCCAATTTCTGGTCCAGGGAGGATGGTCATTTGTCGATGAGTGCCACAGGCTGACTGGCAGAAACCTCCAACGCCATCACCTGTAATCACCGAGCATTTCAGAAACAGTACAAGGCAAGACTTGGCATGAAAGCAGTGCACTGCAAGCCGTGCAAACTATGCAGCTCGAATTGGGAGACGAAATGGAAGAAATCCATTGGCATTAGCAAGAGTTTCAAACAGCTTTTCAGAAGAATGGTCTAGACCAGTCCAGCAGTGCATAGGCTTTGGAGGTTAGGGCCGCGATATTCTTTAACCTCCTCTAACTAGTAATGCGACAAGGCGCCAGTAACGGTACGTGGGGAGCACAGAAACGACAGTAAGAAATAAGAAAATTGCACCAGTAAACAATCGGCCACAACTTCATCGAAAACCACAAAAGCCCAAATTGAAAGTTGCTTTAATACGTGAAGCGCGCTTGCCTGAGCGTGTATGTATGAGCTACACGACTCGAAAAAGACACGTTCAGATGCTTCTGAAGGCAGATAGTAAAGGTGAATGCGTGCGGAAGCAGTCGAAACGATCAAAACTGAGTCAACAAACCTTTCGGTAACCGCCATCATACACAAAGCACTCTCAACCCGTCCTGACGAGCAGCTGGGGGTGCACCGTTACGATCGATACGTTCACCTCACCTCAAAAACAGCCAAACCAAACCACAATTTCAAACTACGTTTGAAATGTAAAACCGTTACATCGTTCAGACTTAAGACTTGTTCGTACGTGCGGCAGGTAGCAACAGGCAAGGCAGCCATTACACCCTCCTTCTCCCCTTTCCCCTCTCCCTCCACCGGCCGCCGGCGGCCACCAGCGTCGCTGCCAACGTAACTGCTTGAATTCTCGTCCTTACAATTTTCACGCGCCGTTTCAGGGCGATGATTCAATTTTCGGTTTGGTAGAGAAGCGCGCAGTATTTTTTTCGATTTTATTGACCCTAAATCGTGCACTGATCGATAGAGAATACGTGAGTGAGTAATCTGGGGGGTGGGGAAATTTCTCGCGTCACCAGCAGAAGACAGACGAGTCGTCAGCGATGTAACGCAGAGTAGAGTTAATTTGAAAAAGAAAACAGAAAACAAATTATCTGACCGATATTTTAGACTTCTAAGCTATCATATTACAGTGATTTCTATTGACGGAGAGCCATCCAGAGGGCTGGCAACGAATATGTTTCAACCAAAGTCGGGTCAAAGTGGTTAACATAACCCACCACTTGTGTTCCATTTCGTTGATGAATTTGATGGACTCATAGAGAGATGTGGAACTGCACTATGGTGCAGGGCTGAAAACGGAGCTTGAGGGCCGCTCCCCAGTAGTTTCTTGAACTTTCTTTCAAAGCAACTGTGGCAAATCAAGATGTTGATGCTTGTGTTGATGCTGACTCCAGTGTCGCTTTTCCATCGCTCAATACTGAGAGTCAGCATAGTGATGGTGTAAACCAGAGCAGATATGGAGACACTTCCACTTTCTCAGGCAGTTTCTGTACTGAGGAAATTTTTTTTATTTCTGTTTCAGAACTATAAAGACTGTAGCAAACAGCTTAGTGTCACCGCTCCAGAATGCTTTGAGGACAGTCATATCCAAAGCGTTGCCACATAACTTGAGCGCATTGAGTGTTTGCATTACGCTTCACCATCAGTGATCATCTACCAACCAGAATTTCTCAAGCTTCATTCTGATTTCTTTTCCGGAGATTGCAGAAGCATGATGGGCTGCAACGCAAAGGGCATTCTGCTTGGGGAATGGCTTCTCTTCTTACAGATGTTTATTGCTCATAAAGTATGAAAAACTTATCAGACTGTGTGTCTGTATATACAGGACTCTAGGTTTTATCCTTAAATATTTTTTTTTAAGTCATAGTAACTTAGTTTTAGGCTGGCCTCAATGGAGCACATACATTGCATACAAAAGTTAAAAAGTTAATTCCAAAGGCAAAAGGCAATGTACTATTTCTCTTCTGCATTCCAGATGAATGTTAGCTCGGTGGTCTACTTGATTAGAAATGCTGTCCTTTCATTTTTTAATAACTATGGGCCGACTTGTAAGTGGAATCCCCTCACACATCAAACAACTACAAATCAGGACTAAATGACCAAAAGTCATTTACGTAATCATTTTCTACCAACAAAATAATGATGGCAGGACACTGTTGCGATTGCTTCCCACATGTGAAGCAGCATTGAAGATATCAGAACGCCAAGAAACATCAAACAACCCGAAACGCCTGTTGCGGCGGGCGTAGGCAACCCCTCGCACACGGGTGCCGCTCGGCTGCCTACCCGGCAGGCGTTCCGTCCGCGCGCCGTCCGCGCGGCTAGCGCGGCTGCATAGCCGGCGTAATGCAGCCGCGTCTGTCGCGCTCAAGCAGCTGCGGCGGGGAAAGTGGTCCGCGTGAGGGAGACGGCTTAGGTGACGTGTGTGCGGAACACAGGCTCGAAACATCCCCGTGAACGCCAAGCATGCCGTAACCCTGATGACTGATTCCGAGAGTCGTCTTCGTCGCTCTGTCTCTCTGGCGCCTATTCTGGACGCCCCATGAGTGCGAGAGAGACAGAGCGACGCAAACGACTGTTGGAACCAGTCTGCTGGCGGCCAGGCGACAAGCATATCACGGCCTCGGCCGCGACCACTACGCGGGCTACACGTACTGGCCAATGTCAAGAAGGCCCCGGTGAACAAGTCGAAACCGGCGCGCGCGCTGCGCTGCGCGGTCAAGCATAACCCGAGCCGAGCCAGAACCTAGGTCTTTGGTTGTCGAGCCGATCAGGAGCTATCTCGGACACCCAACACCGTGCATTTACCTCCCGGAGAAGCGATGCAGGCTCGAACATAGTGCCGGCCGGGGCGCCTGCCGCATTGGAGGTAGGCAACTCTCGCGCACGGATGTCGACTTGCTGCCTGCCCAGCAAGGCGTTCCGTCCGAGGCCGCGAACGACCACCGCTCCAAAACGATATGTGTCAGGCAGAACGAGGTGCAGGGGGCCGCACAGCACAGTAGGCACAGAGGACCGGTGCAGGCGGCCAAAACTCAAGACGCGTTTTGGGCTCCAGAGTCGCCAAATGGGACTCGAACCGACCGTGTGACCCCACCAATGGATTCCTCGTTCGCAGAGCAATCCAGTGGTGGGGTCACACGTTCGCATCGAGACCCATTTAGCGACTCTGGGGCTCAAGACGCGTCCAGAGTTTTGGCCGCCTCCACCGAACTTCTGGCCCACTGTGCACCGCCAAGAAGCCAAGCCCACCGGCAGCACACTCTTGTTGCCTTCCCTACGGTGACGTTATGGTCAGCATCGCGTCGCGCAGGGCGAACTGCGCTCATGGCAACACTGAGTACGGGGCAATTAGTACACATGCGAACACTACACTCTAAATGTAGGGTGCCCAGAAACTGGGCGCCTTTGTCGCCCGCCCCACTTTTTAGGGTGCCAAATGTCGCCCAGTTTCTGGGCACCTTTGTCGCCCAGTCTCGGGGTGGACAAACCATTAAGAAACCTGCCTTCTCCCATGGCTCAGCAGCGACTGAGGTGCCGAAGGTGCCCAGAATCTAGGCACCTTGGTCTCCCAGGCTCTAGGCACTTGAGCATGCTCTACCATGGGAGAGGGCCGGTTACTGTATGATTTGTCCAGCCCGAGACTGGGCGACAAAGGTGCCCAGAAACTGGGCGACATTTGGCACCCTAGAAAGTGGGGCGGGCGACAAAGGCGCCCAGTTGCTGGGCACCCCATATTTAGAGTGTAGTGATTCACCCCTCGACACAGACGCGAGGCGGCCAGCGGCGGCGACCGATGCGCCGGCTCGGGGAGCCACCGCGCCGACCGCGAGGCAAACCCAGCCGCGCCGAGCCAAGTTACTGACAGGCATCAGGCGGGTCTTGTCGCGCTCTTTCTTCCCATTAGCAGTTTACGAGTGCGAGAGAGATAGCTGTGTCGACTTTCGACTCGCTGACCGCGGCCTGTCGCGCTGGCGGGGGGTTCACCACTTAGCTCAGGAGTGTATACAGGATTTCTAAATACCAGTGATTTCTTACAAAATATCTGAGACACCTCTTTACTTTTGGTTAGCTGGGAGCATTTTTTGCCTATTTTTATAAGAGAACCCCAAAATCCGATAAAAACAGCGAATATCCAGTATTAGCATGAGATTACCAATGATTACTGGACGAAGTGTGCACATGATTTCCAGAGCGACTGACAGGCATCAGGCGGGTGACATCTTGCTCTCTCACTCCCATAAGCTGCCAAGGAGTGCGAGAGAGACAGCTGTGTCGACGGACGACTCGCTGGCAGCCACCTGCTTCTCACCCACCCGATCGCAGGCTTTGGTCATGCCCGTACAAAAAAAAACGTTAACGCTAACGCTAACGTGAAAGCAGATGATACTTATGAGAATGTTTATTTAAATGTATGAATGTGACATTTTGTCAATTTATGTCAAAGAGTAAACACTCGGAACTCTTTTTTTGACAAATTTCTTACGCATGGTAATTCATGAAAATGTCAATTTTAGAAGGGCAAAAAGGGCCGTGGGCGGATTGGATGCAAAACCGCCCCGGATCTATTACCTGTCGGTTTCTGCGATTCAGGGCAGACCACTACAGATTCTGCCATTTCAATTTACTGTGCAGGGACACTGCAGGAGCGGGGAAAAATCGGACAACCCTATAACCCTAGGCTAATGGGTAACAGTATTAGACAGTCTAAAATTAGGAAACCCAGTCTAAAAACTAGGGTGTCCTATTTTCCCCCACCCATGAGGTGAGGTGTGCGATTCTTCCTCGTCCTCTTGACCCTAACCGACGCTCACACCTCTCCCTCCACCCTTCCCACTGATCTCAAAGTGATCAATACACGATAGTTCAATATATTTATAATAAAAATATTGGGTAGGTCAACTTTTTTTGCGATTATTTATATTGGAATATAAATATTGCAATATTTATATTCCAATATTTTTATTAATATTTTTATTAATAAAAATATGGGTAGGTCAAAGAATGGGTAGGTCTAATGCACAGCTCCCTTGTAAGAAGGACTGCAAGGACAGGTAGGACGCATTGCAACCCCTGCATGGGGTCTGGGTACTGGGTAGGGAGGAGAGAGATGAGCGGAAACAGAGGGGGGGGGGATTAGCACACTGAAAATCAAATAGTGATACATCACACTCTCTGAGGGGTGAGACATAACTGTATCACCCCGGAAAAGGGTGATACTCAAATGTATCAACGAAGAAATGATCATACACGCATGTACTACCGAAAAAAAGGGTCGTACACAAATGTATCACCGGAAAAAGGGTGATACTTCCTCAGGAAAACAAGGGCAAATCTCGCCTTTTCTCACATTTTTTTCGGTGATACATGCGTGTACGACCATTTTATCGGTGATACATTTTAGTAGCACCCTTTTTCGGTGATACATTTTATTCTGCCAAAAATTGGTGCGATGTCTCACCCTTTGAATTACAGTGCCAGAAATTCCCCGAAAGGCCCCAGCCGCTCTTGCTGCGCGCCAGGTGATAACTGTATGGGCTTGCATTGGGCCTGCAGGTCTTACGTTAGCTTGGAAAGGTGTTTCTACTCCTTTAAGAAACTCCCTTATACTTTTAAATACAGCATTCTAGTCGTTGGCGATTGAAAAACGAAAAGAACAAAACCGGAAGGCGGGAAGAAAGAAAGTACGTGGCGAGCCTGGTTTCAAGGAGAAATATCGACAAATATCCTCAATTCCTGGGTTAAAAAATATTTGAAACAGACGAAAGTGCT